GGGATCGAGTCCCGCATCGGGCTCCCTGCTCAGCGGGGGGTCTGCTTCTCCCTCTGACCCTCTTCCCTCTCGTGCTCTCTCTCATTCTCTCTCTCAAATAAATAAATAAAATCTTTAAAAAAAAAAATTTAGCCAACTTCTAAGAGCAGATATAAAAATGCACTTAACAAAGCATATGTATTTAGTTTATTAGCGCATGGTGGGTTGGAGAGCCCAAACCATAGAGCTAAAGGTACTGCAGTTGATAAATGTGACAGATACTCTGCAAACAAGAAATAGCGATCAATTTGCTTCTGTTCAGCAATGGAATCGCATAGTAGAGAGATTTTGTACGGCCTGAAGTTACCTGAATAAAGTCACGGCTGCCCGACTCACCCTCACTACAAAGCAGGTGAAAGACTTGCTCCCTTCTTGGTGAAACCACCTCACCTTTTGAGAGGGCACCGAGGGTGGCCTTTGACAGGGTCCCGTGGCTGACGAAGACCTCCAGGATCCACGACAGCGTAGCTTACACGTCTTCGGTCTAGTGCAGGGAAAGGCCTCAGCCTGAAAGCCAGGATGTGTGTCCATAGCCACAGGCTGCCTCGTGGCAAGGCGGCCCGAGACGCCAGGGTCATTATCTTGTCCGGCCCCCACAAAAGTCCATTTTTCTCATATAGGTGAGAGGTTCTTTTTCACATAGGTGAGAGGCCAGGTCTTATTCGCAACAATCGTGAGGACCAGAGCCAAGAGAATTTTCTCGGCTTCCGTGGTCTCACAGATACCGGTGCCCCAAGAGAGGGCTCCTATGATAGAAGCTCTCTTGCTCCCAGGGGAAGTACTGTAGTCCTTTTTCAAGTGTGTCCAGTACCCATGAGGTGCACACTAGGGGAGGAATGGTTGGCCTTGAGTGGTGGTGCAGAAGCTCTTTTAAGGAGCACCTTGTAGCTTCCCTTTCCAGTCACCGTTCTAGGGGGCTTGCCATCCTTAACCTTCCTTCCAGAGTTGGGTGCCCTCCAAGCGCTCTTTTTGCACCAGGAGGGCTTTCCCATCAGTGTATCTTTTCCCATTCAGAGCCAATTCTATCTGGCCGGGGGTTCCTTGCCCAGCTCCTTACTCACCTTTTATTCTCTTCTATTTTGCTCGGCCCCATGCTCTGTGGTCCACCAGACATGTTGTTGCCATTGTGTACTCACATCTTTACTATAACTGGGAAATAAATATGAGATGCAAAAATGTCCAGTCACCCAGGCTAACATCATATGAGTCGTCATCGCTTCTAAATAGTTGTTAGTGTGCTTATGCCACAGAAATTTCTCTAATTGTCCGCATCACATTTCTGGCTTTCCAGTCACAAGGATGTGGGCCCACCAATTTAGGCTTATATTCTTCGTGATCAGAGTGTTCCTGTTGTCCCTCCACCCATTTGTGGCTTTCCTCACATACCACAGGTCAAATAGCTATTTTTTTTTACACATAATATTTGTGACAAATGACATGTATAGCATTTGACCTTCTACCATATACCCAAGACCTTTCTTAAACCTTCAACATCACAGTGGCCACACAGTATTCTTTCAGATTATCATAAATCAATGTTCTCCAGATTCGACTGGGTAAATATTCCCACAGGATGCTTTTCAGCACAAGTCCTTAATAACAGATGTGTTCTGTGAAACAAGAACCAAAAGACACAGCTACTTCAGTTTTGCTCCGCGGACTCCTGGTTATAATCAGAACTCAAATCTCTTCATCCAGTGTGTTCCATAGATTGGCCAGGTGCCCTCTTCACTTCTGGACTCTCTCCCCCACCCTGCTTCTTGACTCTTAAAAGAGACAGTTGACTCATAGCTCAGGGAGCATATATTTTTTAAATTTTTTATTGTTATGTTAATCACCATACATTACATCATTAATTTTTGATGTAGTGTTCCATGATTCATTGTTTGTGCATAACACCCAGTGCTCCATGCAGAACGTGCCCTCTTTAATACCCATCACCAGGCTAACCCATCCTCCCACCCCCCTATATTTTAAGCCTCTTTCTAGGCACCAGTGATGTTGGGTTTTTACCTTTTGTAACGCCCAGGGCATGGCTTTGTTCCCTTCAGTAACAATCTGACCTTTCTTCCTCATCATTAATTTTAGTCCAAACCTTCCACCCACACACGAAGTATGTCCCTTGGGTTCAGCCACTTGGCTCGTGCATATTGAGCTGGTGGCAAGATGAGGCCTAGTGGGGCTTCCCCTTCAATCTCCTCCCAATGGTAAAGGGTCAGATTAGGTTAGTACAGAAAAACGGGGTGACCTTGTTTCTATGCAACAAAACATTTGTGGACAATCAGCTCCAGCTAGTTGAGGGGTGGGGAAGGAGTAATCCATTGCATCAGTCCCTGTAGAATTCTTATACTTACGTTCCAACTAATAGCCATAATATCCTGTTTCAGAATATTACCAGCCTTTGAGACACTCAACTGTAGCCTCAGTCCAGGGACTGCTAGGTATGGCATTGAAAAAGAAAATGTGGTGAAGTCAGAAACACCTGTAAGTCCCCCACTTGAATTATCTTAATTGTAAGTGGTCTCACAGGTGTAGCGCATTTATCAAAGTGAGAGTTACCCAGGTTCCTTTGGTTAGATCTCCACCTGCAGGCCAGAGAGAGTGAAACTCATCTGAGCTTTGCCAATACATCCAAGGAACAGAATTTTTAGACGACCTGTTCTTTGCTGTCGGCTTGCAGTTCCTTTCTAATCGATTCTATTAGCTCCTCTGGTTCAGGTTCTACCGTTTCTAGATTCCACTAGAAAGTTCTGTCATCGATAACCAGTGTCAAAGCCTGTGCTACTAAAAATCAAGGGTAGCTTGGCAAGAAGCATCAACGGCTCATTTTCATCCTTTCTATCAGAATCCTCTTTTTTTTCTTTTTCAGTAATACTGTAGCCATATTTTTAAGCTAAGGATCAGTTGGGGGGGTCTCCTAAACAATCTCACGCCTGACACTGATTGCAGTGGGAGTAGCAGTCGGGGCTCAGTTGCTAAAGAAGACTCACGGAACCCAAATGACAGTGTTTAAAAATTTACAGTTCATTATAGGAAAAGGCTATAATATGCCATCAGCATTAAAAGCAGGATCAAAACCACAGGCTGCCTCACAGCCTAGGATCCGGAGAGGCCCGGTGCAAGCCCAGTGTGCCCGCTCTCTGGAACAGCGGTACCAGGATGCACTTTCTCTCTTGGATCAAGAACCACCGATGTGAGTACAAACCACTTTGGAAACCAGGGAGCATGTAGTGGAGTCTCATACAGGGTTTCTTTTCTTTCTTTCTTTTTTTTTTTTTAGATTTCATTTATTTATTTGACCAACAGAGACATAGCAAGAGAGGGAACACAAGCAGGGGGAGTGGGAGAGGGAGAAGTAGGCTTCCCACTGAGCAAGGAGCCTGATGCAGGGCTCAATCCCAGGACCCTGGGATCATCACCTGAGCCGAAGGCAGACGCTTAAGGACTGAGCCACCCAGGCGCCCCTCATACAGGGTTTCTTAAAGCCTTCTGGTAACCTGGGCATATTCTTCCCACGTAGCCGGTCCCATACCCTGCGACCTTCATGGGTCTGCCCCAAACCAGGTAAAAACAGTCAGTGTTACTTCTACCAATAAACAGTAATGATAAGCCGTAACCCATGGCTACAGATCAACACAGTAAGGCACTTCTTTTCATTGCTTTGATCAAGGCTCTGCATTGTGTAGCCTTTTAGCAAAAAAAAAAAAAAAAAAAAAAATCTTAGGCCAACTCCAGAGCCTTTGAAATTAACCCTCACAGCACAGATAACCACATCAAAGTGCCCCGACTTTCTTGCTGGGCAAAGATGTGCTGGGAAAGTCCTTCAGCCTGAAGTGTCAGCTGCCTGGAGAATGGCATGACGTCACCGGCAGCCTCCTCTTCCTACAGGTGCCCGCTGCCTGGGTACGAGCTGGCAGGCACACAGCGCTTGTCCCCCGGTGCCCTCCCCTGTCTCTGCACAGATGAGGTTACGGGATTGTTGGTACATTAGCACAGAGTCTCTGCATTGACCCATGGGATGAGCTTGGGGGTGATGTGGGCACCGTGAGACTTACTCTGACTTTCTGGTGCTTCTCTTTTGTCCCACTGTTCTCCCTGGTAGAGAACTTGGGATGGTTTTCTTTTTCTGTCAAGTCTATAAGGGCACCTTCTGCAACCTCCCTTTGTGCTCTTCACTATGGACCTCCACGTGTCCTGCTATAATTCCCAGAGGGAGGCTCCTTCTTTCTGGTCTCTGCTTTCTCAACTACAGACCGATTCTAAAGGTGCTTTCTAGTCCTCAGAACCCAAGAGGCAGTAAAAGACAAAAAAAAAAAAAAAAATCGGCTTCAGCTCCTCACTTGTGGCATTTGTAGAAAGGAGTAGAGTTAGCATTGGAATCTAGAATGTTGAAAGGGCAATTACTCAGCAGCCAGAGCCCCAGGAGCCATTAATGGGATCCTGTGCTCAGTCTCCCACCCCACCCCCCCCACACACACACCGCTTCATTTTCTGTTTTTTCTGCTTTTCCTGAAGGACACACAGGGTCCTGGAGAGCAAGTCTTTTTGTCCTGTCCCCACCCTCTCTCTGCCCAACAGCCCTCATGCGGAGGGACACCAATGAATGGCCCCTATTTCTCAATTATGTCAAAACCTCTAGCATCCTCTACTGTACAAATAATTTTTGAAAGAGTGGGTATCTTAGCACATGTTTGGTTTTTATATGGCTTTAAAATATAGTCCCTAGTAAGAAGATAAAGATATTCACCTCCCAATGGAAATTCCTAGTTTGAGGTTAAAAAAAAAAAAAAAAAAAAAGTTACACAGAATTGTCTGCTGCTTGCTTTTTGAGGCTTCTAGAAACAGTGAATCATTATGTTTAATGTTTCATCAAAAAATCTCACTGTATTCTTTCAGATGGTCGTTTTGAACACTTAAGTGCATGTCTCTGTGGCAATTAAATTGTCCCTATCGATTTTCTCACCTCTTTTCAAGTGCATAGTATTGGCTATGGATGTCGACTAGAAGTCTTTGAAAAAATTGTTCCACGAAAGGGGAATTCTGTTTGGTACGTTTGTGTTCTCCGGTCTTCTGTGAGGGCCCATTCTCCTTTTTAACTGCATCTGGTTTCAGCAGAGCTCACTGTGCAGTATTTCTCCCCTCACTGTGTCATCTCTGCTCCTGTTCTTCCAGAGCAGTTGCCTTGCTCCCCTCTGGAGCTATTTAGACTCCAAATTTTCTATTCTGTGTGTTACCCACTCACCTGTACAGAGATGAGAGTAGACTCGGTAAAAAGAAATTCGTGCCATGTTGCTACTTGGTTTGCTTCCATCACACGAGTAAATGAGACTCAGTACAAACCCGAGTCTACAAATTCTCCCTTGTTAGTTCTTGTATCCTTAGATGGAAGGCAAAATATTTATAATGATTAAGACAGAGTAACAAGAAAATAATAGAAAAACTTCAAAACCCATAGCTTCCTTCAGTCTACAAAGAATCGCGCTGAGAATATTGACATTTGGAAGAAAGCCGTTCCTCTCTTGCACTCACGGAGATGGTGAGCTGCTTTTTTAAATGTTCTCACCACCTGAACATTTGCCCCCTAAGCAAGTGCAGCACACACAAGAGGAGGGGCTGAGAAAGTTGGGAGTCCGCTGTCTGTGTCCCTCTCCCCAGGCTGCCTTGTAGCCCCTGCTTGCTGGGCCCTTCCCTCCTCTGGGCCCCCTGCCTTTTTCCATTATTATTATTATTTTTTTTATTCTTCATTCTTTTTCCTACCTGCCTCCCTCTCAAATCAAGTATGTTCTTTCCTACCACTTTAAATAAATTCTCGGCTTCCATGTAAAGAGGTCATCTCTCTGTCCTGAGAGTATTTTAACACAAAAGGAGTGGGGCCTTTGCTTTGATAGGGTGAGTGCTAGTCCAGGGCATTTTCGGGAAAACTGCGTGGAAGCCACAGAGCTTTACTGACTGGGATGAAAGACAAAAACCCCTCCTGTTTCCACCACCAGGTCTCCTTCTGGCTTCCAGGGAAACTTCAAAGGTTACTATTTTTCTTTTTTAAAAGAGAAAAACGTGCATGACATAGGTATGAACCTGCAGAGGTATTAACCACTATCCCCCCGCCCCCACTTTAACGTTTAATTAGAACTCACTACAAATAACTAGTAAAATACATTGAAGTCTTAAATTTGCATCTGTTTAGCATCGGGCAAGCTGTTTACTGGCTGGGATGGCCCAGGTTTATCTGCAACTACATTTAGAATTGTACTGTCTCCTCCCACTAGATGCGCTAGAGATTTACTTAATTACCATTGATTCTTTTGTCTCCAAGGACTGAGAATTCAGACCAGAGCTTAAGTGTATAAGGTGTTAGAAAAGCACCCTTGCTGCATTTCCAATTTGGCTAATAAATTGGCTTTAGAGAAAAGCATCTTCCCATGACATTTGGGAGTAAAGCTTGTGATTGAGGTCTCGCTTTTGTTAAATTTTTGTCTTGCAGCATATGAGTAAATAACACTTCAGAGCAAGGGAATCCACCCCCCCCCCATCTTAGAAAGTTCTTAGAGGACTTGAAAAGTACGTTGTAAAATACAACTTGAAGGTGAGAGAAATAAGTGAGCTTCAAGTCTAAAAAATGAGTAGATTATGCAGTTACTTTAGTGTCTCTTTCGAAAATTTTAATCAAGTTGATGATTTTTTCACCTAATATTAAGGTAGCGCAGAGATTGTGAGGTGACTGAAATTTCAAGGTGAAAAACGCTTAATGATTACAAATGCATAGCTGGAAATAGAATTTACACAACCCTAACCATACAGATTAATCAAACTGACCTTCCCTAATACTAATCTGAAAAGGTATTGTCAGGAACTCTTTCAAAATTTCTAGTAAAACAGATTTTTTCTTACTCAGAATGTGGAAATGACTCTGTTCCCATAGAACATTCTAGGTTCCCTGAACTCTCTCACGAATACCCCTGTGCTTCAGGAATGGAAACTTTCCCCGCCCACATTTTTCACCCAGTGCCATCGAGATTTCACAATAACCTCAGATCCTGAATACTCCAGCCAGGAAACTTAGAGCTGGGGGGTGGAGACAAACCACTTTAAAGGAGGGTAGGGTTTACCTCTACAGTCTTCCACTCTGCCAGCTGAGCTATCGAAGGGCACATGGATAAAACAGATGTGGTATATATATACAATGGAATAGTACTAGCCATCAAAAAGAATGAAATCTTGCCATTTGCAATGATGTGGATGAAATTAGAGGGTATTATGCTAAGTGAAATAAGTCAGTCAGAAAGACAAAGACCATATGATTTCACTCATGTGGAATTTAAGAGACAAAACAGGTCAACATAGGGCAAGGGAAGGGAAAATAAAGTAGAATAAAAACAGAGAGGGAGGCAAACCATAAGAGACTCTTAACTCTAGGAAACAAACTGAGGGTTGCTGGAGGCGAAGTGGGTGGCGGGATGGGGTAACTGGGTGATGGGCATTAAGGAGGGCACTTGATGGAATGAGCACTGGGTGTTCTGTGCAACAGATGAATCACTAAATTCTACCCCTGAAACCAGTAGTACACTATTTGTTAACTAAATGGAATTAAAAAAAAAAATTTTTTTTTTTTTTAAAAGAGGATAGGGTTTGGGTTTGGTGTTCACTAAAGAGTACGAGACAACCCGACCAGGATTTTCCAAGGAAAGGGAAAAAGAGTGAAAGGAGGATTTTCCCCTCGGAATCACTTGTGATTTTTTGTGGCTTTTGCAGTGGATCTCTTGAGCCTGTCGGCGGCCTGCGATGCCTTGGACCAGCACAACCTCAAGCAAAATGACCAGCCCATGGACATTCTGCAGGTCATTAATTGTCTGACCACTATTTATGATCGCCTGGAGCAAGAACACAACAATCTGGTCAACGTCCCTCTCTGTGTGGATATGTGTCTCAATTGGCTGCTGAATGTTTATGACACGTACGTATGGCAAGCTCTTTACGGACTCCGCCATGGGAAGCTTAGTTTCCAGAATGGTGCGGGTGTAATTAGCATCACAACAGGGGCCCCAGTCTAGAAATACTGTCCTCAGGATGAAAGGTTCATGAAGCCCTGTGAGCCAGTGCTGTCCCTGTGATAAATCATTTTTGCATTCACTGAAGCTGAAAAATATTTGGATGAACTAGGAGGTAAGAGCTAGAATGTAGATTGCTCTCAGAAAACAAACAAAACCCTGAGATACTCATTTTTCATACTCATGTTTCAAATAGTAGAATGAGTCAGTGTGTAGCCTTTTCTTGCCTGTGTAATTTGAATTCCTCCATCCACTTCGGGGGCGGCTCCCACTCAGTGGCAGAAATGGGTGTGCTCTTGGGGATGCTGGTACACCTGTCACCAGATCTGAAGAGCGTTCGCTGATACTCAGGAGCTTTTTGCGGAAGATCGTGAATTGATAAGCCAAACAAAACGAGAACAAGCCCTTAATGGAGCCAACTCGGCCTCTCAAACTGAGGAAGTTTTATAGCGTTCTACAGAGTTTCTGTTCGACACCTCCCTTCATCACTCTCTTGGAGAGTACTTGTTTCTTTCTTTTGGATTACACACAGGAGGTATCCCCAGTTCTTGTTTTAGTCTTGAGCTCACTGAAGGCAGTTGAGGAAGGTAGCAGACAGAATTGGTTTGAATTTTGACTGAATTCTTCTTAGACCTTAAAATGATTGCATGCCTCATTTCACATGCCAACGAGAACATATCCCTCTTTGGAAATCTGGGAAGGTTTTCTAAGAAGAGTTGCATTTCCGCTGTTTTGCCTTTGTTGTAGATTTCCGCCACCTCTGTGATTAAAATGTATACTTTTTTCCTTGTTATTTTGATAAGGTAGTCCTTTTTGAATTCCAAGACCACCTGGCTGTTTAATTCTGATAATTATTTACCAAGCCCTTGAACGTATTGGATTTTAATTGTGCATTACCCTTAACATTTGCTCTGATAAGGGTTTGTACTCAGGTGTTCCTTCACATACGTTTTGGCAGTGTGCTCTTTGCAGATGACGTCTGAGTATATAGAACTTCCCTTCTACCTGCCTCACAATTACTTGGGGACAGTTTTAACTCCTTGAAGACCTGAGTTACACTTTATGAAGTTTACTTGTTAAACTTTGATTTGCCTTTTTTAAAGAGGTGAAAAGATAAGGAAACCTTCCAATGATCGTAATTTGGTTAATGGATTAGGATCCTGTTTGACTAAGGGATTTAGTAAATTGTACCAGTTAAAAGTTGAGCACATTGTTCACCCAAAGTAAACCCAGTTGGGACATATTTGCAGTTTTGAAGTGCTAGGTGGGAAAATTATTCTATAATCTCTCCCTCTCTTTAAGCACCATGTAAGGTTCACTTTCTTTCTCTAACAAGATAAAAGCTGCAAATTATTGAAAATCGTTTTCTACAAAATGGAACATTTTTCATTTTCGTGTTCCATTTTTTTCCCACAGATAAAATGAACCATTTATAAGTTTGTCATGAGGAATGCTTTATTTCAGCTTTATAGGAAAAGTGAAAGTGTAAACATATTTAAAACACCGATATAGCAATAGGTTGTTTTTAAATTGCTCTTTAAGATCATATATTTGCGTGTTCTTTAATAGAGGATATTGTATTTTTCTTAAGATAAATGTGTGTATTTTATAGTATGTGTCATGTCGCCTCAAGTGAGTGAGTGTCTTCTCAATCAAGGGCAGTCTGATGACAATCTGGGAGTGCTGGGTTTTTCTTGGGGGGGCTTCAATAAGCACAGTAGGCAGTTTGTTGAGTAACCAAAATAATTTGGTGCACAGTAGTAATCCTTCCACTTACCAACTTAAACACCCAGGTGGCTCTCCATTGACTAGAAGGATATTTCTTACTCTTTTCATGTAGAGCTACTGTTACAATTCAAGTAAGGGCTTTTTTTAAAAAAAAAAAGGATTTTATTTATTTATTTGACAGAGACAGAGAGAGAGAGCACAGATAGGCAGAGCGGCAGGCAGAGGGAGAGGGAGAAGCAGGCTCTCCGCGGACCAGGGAGCCCGACGCGGGGCTCGATCCCAGAACCCTGGGATCATGACCTGAGCCGAAGGCAGACGCTTAACCGACTGAGCCACCCAGGCACCCCTAAATAAGGGCTTTTAAGAATCGAAAACTTGGTAAAAGTTCCTGGGTCAAAGTGGTCACATTTCCATTGCATTCTAGGCCATGAGCCAAATAGATAAGGCAGATAACAAAGATAGTACATAATGAATAGACAAGTTGTTAATAAGACCATTGGTTTCATACAACAGTGGTCAGTAGAGTTCCCGTATCCAAGGGTTTGTTTTTCCTTTTTTTTTTTTTTTTTTCTTAAGAAGTGTTTACCATCTACTAAAGTGTCAGTAATTGTTTTCTGGTTTGATTATTCATAATAGGGGACGAACAGGGAGGATCCGGGTCCTGTCTTTTAAAACTGGCATCATTTCTCTGTGCAAAGCCCATTTGGAAGACAAGTACAGATGTAAGTCATGTGTATTAACTCTGGTTTTTTTTTTTTAATTTTATTTTTATTTATTAGAGAGAAAGCACTTGAATTAGGGGTGGGGGGGTTAACTCTGTTCTTTTATTAACGTTGGCTAATTACCCCAGTTTGAGATGGGGAATGCCTCGCTTTGCGGTGACAGTGGGTTCCTCTTGTAAGTTACAGAACTGCTTTTTAGAGTGTCCTAAAACTTGGTTTGTGCCGTTGTCTGTCAAACATGAAATGGCAGGTATTTAAGTAGAGAATGAGGATTAACTCCTCCAGTCCAAGTATTATTTTACATTACATCGACTGTGTCTGAATAAAACACATGTTCCTAGAGGATAAAGTCTGATTTCCTAACCCCTTTGTAAAAGTCAGAAAAATAAATGTGAAGGTTTAATCCATGCCCTTGCTTAGTCTTTGGATTCTTATTTAAAGAGTACTATCTGGCATTCGTGTTCCAGAAACATTGTTTATTTTGTAATCATCTTACTGCAAGTTGTACAGACATATCCACTTCTGTGACGTGACTAACATTTTATTACGTGAGACACAGATCGCTTGCCATTTCTTACAGGGTAAATATCACCTTATAGAATTTCCTTTTGGTTAACTCTTGGGTTCTTCGACGTAAACTGTGTGAATCCAAATGAAAAGCAAATGCTAGAGGAGCAATGGAAGCGAGCGTTCTTTCCTTTCCCATTGTGAAGGACTGTACTTGTTTTTCACCTTTAAAGGCTCGTAAGAAGTCTTGATGGTAGGAATATTAAGCAAACCTCGCCTATCATGTCATTTCTCTTTTCCCCTAATGTCTAGCCACACAGGGATGAGATGTGCTGAGCTTAAGGATGGGCAGGAGATAAAAGAGAATGAATTTCTCCAAAGCCCCTCTGTGTCCTACTGCTTATTTCCCCCCAGGAGTAAGCCACAAAATACACAGGCCCTTTTAGCTCTCACTTTTATGTCGTTTTCACTTGAGTGTGTTTTGTTTTTTTTTTTAATCCTCGGATCCAAAGAAAGAGAACTGAACGGCTTTCATTAACCATTTAAAAAGGTATTTTGGGTAAAGTAGAATATTTCTGTGGGTTTTCCTTCTTTAAATAGTGGAATTACTTACAGGTTAGTTTGTCACCTAACCTTATCAATGGTATGGTACCAGCCCATTGTAATACCAAAGGGAGCTTTGAGCCTGTGTTTCAAATGACTAAGAGGGAACTTGTTTTGAGGTTGGTGACACAAGAATATGAACTTCAAATTGGGATAGGTGAAGAGAATTCATAACTTTGAAAAAAAAATCTGTGCATGTGTATCGGAGAGGTGGTAGAAGGTGTGCGTGCTGCCTCGCTTTTGTCATTGACATCTTAGATACCTGGTTAAAATATTCAAATAGAGTTTAAAATGTGCGTATGAAAAGGAAAAGCTTCCTTGAATTTCCTTTTGTTGGCAACTTTTCTTTGAATACAAGGTATGATTGAAATGATTTTATTTCTGAGAACAAGACATACATGGGAAGTGTTGGGTGTGTTCATTCATTCCGTGACATTTCTCATACACAGCTGACCAAATATGGCCCCTGCCCTCACGGGAGTTATCATTTTTCAGCCACAAAGACCGGCATGTATTAGATCAATGACAGTATAAAGTGATTGGAACTAAGTTACAAATATATACAGGAGCCTGTGGGAATACATGCAACAAACTCAATGATCTTAGGACTTCATAAAGAAGTTCCAATTTGGGTACATTTTTGAATCTCTCATGTCCAAAGGGGATGGTGCTTTGGACCAGTTACATGGCTCTTACTGCTAAAATATTTATTTTATGATAGTGGTTACATCCTATATATGAAATAGTTCCCAAAGGATTACATTTTAGCTTAGGAAAATTTAGGTGTCAAGACTGTATGTAAACTCACGTTTCTTGCAGGACTGTAGTTTATTTAAAAGCTGTCACGCTTTCCATATACACACGGTGATGATTAACTTGATCCATAAAAATAGTAAATGTGCAGATGAGCGTGAATTAGAAGGAACCCCTATCTGTGGGAATATTGGCTGCTCTCAATAAGTAGTGCTTGGAATTGAGGTGGTTGGTAGGTTCTGCTAGCATCGACGTGGTGCTGCTTTTTGATTATTGAAATGCTCTTCTTCCTTTTGTAGACCTTTTCAAGCAAGTGGCAAGTTCAACAGGATTTTGTGACCAGCGCAGGCTGGGCCTCCTCCTGCATGACTCCATCCAAATCCCAAGACAGTTGGGTGAAGTCGCATCCTTCGGGGGCAGTAACATTGAGCCGAGTGTCAGGAGCTGCTTCCAGTTTGTGAGTTATTCACCTTCTTAAGTAACTTGTTTCTTTTTTTGCATTTTAGAAATTAATGAAAAAATAAAAACACACAACTTGAGTTTCTCACGTTAGTTCCCGTGTAGGCAGTTAGGAAGGGATTGATACTTGAAACCTCTGAAGGCAGTGGCTTCTGGACTCTGGGTTTTGGAAGAGAGGACAGTACAGAGGAAGGAAAAGAAGTCTCTACAGTAGGGACCCCGTGGTTAATAAGGTGCCGGGAGGGAAGGGAGTCTGCGGTGGTTCAGCAAGGGAGGAAATAAATCTCCAGCCACAGAAATCCTTTGTAAATAAGAAACTAACTTTTATAGGTGAGTCTTTTAAGTTTCTTAGCCTTTTTTTCCTTTATTCTTTTTTTTTTTTTAAAGATTTTATTTATTTATTTGAGAAAGAGAGGCAGCACGAGCAGGGGGAGGGGCAGAGGGAGAAGCAGACTCCCAACTGAGCAGGGAGCCCGATGCGGGACTTGATCCCAGGGCCCCGGGATTATGACCTGAGCTGAAGGCAGATGCTTAACCGACTGAGCCACCCAGACGTCCCTGACTATCACTTTTTGAAGTTGTCCTTCTGTAGCTTTGACCTTCCTCTATAATCTGAAGGCCTGATTGGTGACTCTGCATATAACAAGGTCAGAAGTTTATGCTCTGCTGGTGTCCATCCCTAGCCCAACACACGGCTTGTCCATTCTCTTATCCCATCCTGGGGCCTCTTCCATACCACAGTCAGTTCCCCCAGAAACATCCTCTTCCAGCACTCCATTGAGAGACACATAGGCTGTTTCCATTGTTTGCTGAGGTAGGTAATGCTGCAGTGAACATCTTTATGCATTTAGCTGTTTTCCTTGGTTGAAGTTTTCCCTTAGGATAAATTCTCAGGAATGGGATTACCAGACTAAAAGAGTTTTGTGGCTTTTGATACATATTTCCGGATGGCTTGTTGTCAAAAGTTGTTCCTCTTTGTAATACCACCGGCCCTGAAGGAGTGAGATATTTGCAGTATCCAGTTATTCACAGTGGTCTTTGGTTGGTTGGTTGGTTGGTTTTTGTTTTCATGCTAGGAGCTGTTTTTCTTTTATGGGGTTTCTCAATCCATAGTGATCCCATGAACAATAGAACTAGCTCTAGAGATCACCAGATAACCTGGTTAGACCTGTGGTCTTTGACCACAGACTAGGCTAAAACCACAGAAGGCCTCCCAGGCAGAATGTTGTGAATATTTAGATGTTTAAAGCCGTTTGAGCATTCATTTAAAAGTTAACCAGGCACACCGACGAAATGCCCACATAATAAGCCACCTTATTTAGCGTTGGACATACTGTTTGGATTGTTGTGCTAAAGTTAAGGCACAGTAGCTAGAAATGTAAAATAGATGTGGAGAAATAAATCCTTTTTTGCCTCATGCTCAAACTTCCCAAAATGTAAATAGATTATCAGTACCTCTAGATTTTTTTTTTTGTACTCTATTCCAGAATGGAGACACAATTAATTTTCATAAAATGAATAGTAATGGCCACAAATAATCCAGATTCATTTTTTTAAGTCCAGTTAGAAAACAACCTGTAATGGCCTGAGTTGTTTTTCCTAAGCATTGTTTTCTCTTTAATCAAATTTCAGTTACTCTTTAAATTTCTAGCTGTGAAACACACACGTGTTGATATAAATGCTTAGGCACACAGTTATGTGTGTACTGTGGCTTGGGTTGAGAGTAAGGGTCAGAATGGAAGTCTGCCGACAGCCGACAGACATCAAGAACCACTGGAGCCCTTGTCCCATGGGCCACAGGACTGCCTGGGGCTGCAGCTACCGCCACCCTCCCTGCAGACTCTCGCTCTTTTTTAGAGGGAGAGAATCTCAAGCAGACTCCCCACTGAGCACGGAGCCCAGTGGGAGGGGTGGGGGGACTCGATCTCACGATCATGAGATCATGACCTGAGCCAAAACCAAGAGTCTGACGCTCAACTGAATGAGCCACCCAAGCGCCCCCTGGCTCTTTTTTTAGTTGAAATATACAAAATACTTGACATTACACGGTGTAAATGTAAGGTGTACAACACGTTGACTCGATACATTAGTATATTGTAATGTGATTGCCATTACTGTGCTAGTTAGCCCTGCTATCACGTCGTATAATTATCATTTCTTTGGTAGGAATAAGTAAGATCTCGCCTCTTGACTCTCTTGAGTGGGAGTCAGGACAAGGGGTCACCAAACAGAAGCTCTGCCTTCCCAAATGCTGTGCCCTTATCAGGAGCCATGTCCCTGTACTTCCACGTGCCGCATCCTTTGGCTGGATGCCCCCCGTTCTTCCCTGACCACATGTCTCTGTCTTGGTAATAGCAACGCTGTCTTCTCAGTGTCGAAACTTGCAATTCAGTCTGTCCTCACATATTTAGTGAATGTGTTCTGGCTAGCCAGTCTCCAAGCTCTTGGGAATGTCTTCTGTGAGCCTGGGGGGGACATCTGTCAAGAGACGAACAGGGGTAACAGGTGGATGTTATTTTCTTCTCTCTACTCTATGGTATTTTCTGAATTTTCTTCTTTGAATATTCAGAATTAGGAAAAAATGAGTAAAGTGCTAACTTTTTTTTTGTTTTTAAGAGAAAGAAACCTCTTTCGTCTGATCTCCTTCCTTGCCACTCTTACTATTCACTACACCCTGACCTTGTCATTGCTCTTACTGCTCTTGTACTGGTTTTAGAGAAATGTATTCGCTGTATGATAGCATGTGTCAAAATCCGTTTCTTCCCATGGCCCCCTGAATAAATCCTAATTTGTCTGATTCTCACACCTTTCCTAATCTGTTTCCATAGCTACCCACCGTTGGCTTCCACCTCCATGAAACGGCGTCTCCCTACCCTTTGAACCTACTACGCTTATAAATATCGTTACCGTTGCTACTGATAATCATACCTGCTATTTGTTCACATGAATTCTGTCCTTGAATCTCACCAGTCCTTTGAGGAGAATGAAATGGGCAGGCGGTGGGGGTTGTGTTTTTCTTGTTATTTAAATGGATGAATGATTTACCTCTGCCCCTCAAGGCCCTCAACTGGCAGAAGACTTTAATTCCTACTCCTGTGTCCCCAAACCTCCACTTATCACCTCAGTCCCAAATACGCATATTTTGATTCTGCTCCCCACCCTCCCGAGGTGAAATAATAGGGCTTTATTCTGGCTCCCTGCTGGAATACAAGATGCCATAACAAAAGGGGAACATACAGGACTTGGGGGTAACAGGAATGCTCATTTTTAAAGAAGTTGAGTATTGGCAGTGGGATGTTACTGGTAGGATGTCGGGCACGTTCTCGGTGTACAGAGCCAGGCAGGGTTTATGTTACTTAGGTTTGGGAAGCCTCTCGACTTGCTAGCCATTTGCAGTCAGGTTCAATCGATCCATTTTGTTTCCTTCACGGTCGCCATCCTGGCCCTGCTGTGCTCTCCCTCAGCCAGGTGCTCTGGCGGGCACCTCACAGTTCCCTGTGCACCGCAAATGAAAATGTGCAGTTTGCTGCAGCGAAAGTTAACACTGGTGAAAATGCCCTTTGCCCTTTGTTTGACGTGTAAAGACCTTGGGACTGGGGCCAGGCTGGTTCCTTCAGCAAGGTTGTGCTCAAAGACCTCTGTTTCTAAACGTCAGGAAACAGGAGGGAAGTCCTTGTTTTCTCCTACGAATGCATGCCTTGTATCCAGAAGGAGAAGTTGACTTCAGAAGAAAACTTACTTCTTTCGGGTTGGTACAGTTAGAAAGGTGTCGCTTCTGATTCAGGCAAGAGCCTAGGAGCGGCCGGGAGAGAGGGCTGTTTGCACGTGCTGGGCTCACTGGGCAATCTTGCAAAGCTCTCCTTAGCTCAGGTCCGGTTCTCTCCGGTCTGGACGTGGATGCACAACAGGATGAATGGACTTTAGTACTGCTGAACTGGCCGCTTAAAAATGGGTAAGATAGTAAGTTTTAGGGTATGTGTACTTAACCACAATAAAGAAAGTTAGGGAAGAACCCCAAAATAGTTCTAAATCAGAGAGTAACGGAAATCACCATCACGCTCAAGTACAATGTTTTGCCTATATTTAAAAATCAGTATAGGTCTTTCAAGGAATTACCCAGTAAGCCAGGACCCGAAGTCATATCTGTGGCTATCAAAAAGGAGAATTATCCATAAATGTATGGATTTGACAGTGGTATCTTCTTTGAGAGTAAATGAGGCAACAGGATAATGTTTCTACTGTAGAAGCTTACTGCAGTCAACACATGTAGTGGGAAACTGACTCTTTTGGGTAGTAGAAGTGAAGTATTCATTTGACAGAGACAGAGCACAAGTGGGGTGAGGGGCATAGGAGAGGGAGAAGCAGGCTCCCCGCAGAGCAGGGAGCCCGATGCGGGGCTCGATCCCAGGACCCTGGGAGGCAGACGCTTCACTGACTGAGCCACCCAGGCACCCTGAAACTAGTTTGTTTCAATTAACACATCATCAGGTTGTTCTTTAGTTCATAATCCATGGAAACAGCTCCATTGTCAGAGTGGAATGATCCTTAGGACCTGAGTAAGGCTGGGCATGGCCCTGACAGTGAGTCACACAGATTGCCCAAAGGAACCTTGGAGATTCACCGCATGTCTCCTTTTTCTGCTGAGAAAACTGAAGCCCAGAGAGGCAGGACTTACTACATTCTACATACTGCAGTTGTATCGTGTCCCATCTAGACAGAAGGCCTAAGTTCCCTATGTTCCAAGCCAGTATTTCCTTCTGCTAAACCATCTGAGTGGAAATAGATGGCTTAACTGGTTCAAATACCAGACTGAACAAAGAGCTAAGAAACATGATCCCTTATGTGAATTTTTGGTTATAATAGGATGACACGGATAAATGAACACCCTTATCACTACCACAGTGCATGTGTACGTGCACGCACACACACACCACGCATGCCCCGTGATCTTTATTTAAGCTATTCTACTCCCAATGGCAGGTGACTAAGTCTTCCTGCAAATGAAACCAACTAATATTG